CTTTGAAGAGGCAAGAAAATTCTGCCACAGATTTTGAGCCTCGCTGCATGAGTTGAATCTCGTCCTTGAGTTGGAGTTCCCGAGTCTTGGATCTGTGACAGAATGAGGCTTCAAGAGTGGTCCAAGCCTCATGTGCATGACTCAAACCAAGTACTTCACCCATAGACTCCTCCGTGAGAGAAGAATAGAGAAGACTTAAGAGAGTCTGATCTGTATTCAGCCAAGAAGTGTAGGTTGGATTTTCCTGCGTAGTGCCGTTAGATCCAGTAATCTGTGGAGAAGGAGCTTGAACACTGCCATCCAGATATCCAAAGAGTCCTTGGCTGGTCAACAGAGGTAAGAATTGATTTCGCCAGAGCAAATAATTGGTGGAGGTTAGTTTGATGGTGAGCATATGCACCATCGTGTTCAGCGGAAGCGAAGATGATGAGGACGAACTAGCCATGAAAAGGATCGAAGGATAGAAGAGAGAGAAAAATAAATAAATAAATAATAATAATAAAAGAAGGCTCTGATACCATATAGAGGTTCAAAGACCCGTGTATATGTGACTGAAATCCTCAATGAATATTGAGGCAATCTGTTTCATTATATAAAGTGTATTTACAATAGAAAAGTCCTATATCAAAATATATGCAGTTGAGATTATCCTATAAAAGATAAATACATGATAATAGATTATCCATAAAGATAAATACATGATAATTAAGATAAATACAGTATACAATCATCTAAGATCAAGGAAGGATGAATCCGAAGAGGATTCATCCTTATCAAATTATATATATGTCAATTCTGAAAAAGATCCATATGCGTTTAAGTCTTGAGTGTATGCAACCAAGGTCCTAATCTATATCTCTTTCTCAATTTTTTTTTTTTTTCTGCTCGAATGACTTTCAATACTCTATGTCCATGCTCAAACTCTGTTTTTTTTTTTTTTTTTTTTTTTTTTTTTTTTTTTTTTTTTTTTTTTTCCTGATAGACAGTAATGAATATGCCAACCCAACTTATAATATGAAATAGAAATAATAAATTAATATAAATTTAATTTAACTGCCAACTCAAAATACTTATTATATATATATATATATATATATATATGTTTTTATTGCGTGCTCCACTCTTCGTATTCTTATGAACAGAAAATTAAACAAAATTATATATGTTCTATAACCGTGTAAAAAACAGTAGCGTTCACATTATTTTATAATTAAACAAAATTATATGTTTTCTATCACCGTGTAAACAAAAATAGAGATGTCTACTAATGAAACAGAGAAGGATACAATTTGAGATTGTATATGAAATAGACATATAAATTTAATTTAGCTACCAACTCAAATTCTGTCGGTTAGTAATTGGAGTATGTATATAGAAGTTTTATTTGGTATTTCTATCCCCAATTATTCGGTGTTTTGTCTTCTATTCTTATGAACAATAATTAAAAAAAATTATTGTATATTATCTATCACTATGTAAACAAACAGTTGTGTTCACATTATTTTATTTTACTAAACCACAAAGTAGTTGACCAATACTATATAATAATCTGGTAGCGAATGGACGGTGCTGAAGAAAAATCCTTCTTTGGTCATATGAGGTCGGAGTTCTTAATGTCTTGCTTTTTTCATTTTTTACTCTTTGAAAGGTTAGGTTAAAAGAGTGAAAACTTAGTTTTTAATAATTAATTCGAATATAGTTGGGGTGTTAACGTGGGGTCATGGCGCCTTTGGAATTGAGGGTTATCCGTAATTTCCCTCCACTGCACTGGAAATCTTTCTTTTAATTTGCTCTTCATTGGAGAATCTTTGAAAGAATTGAACTCATCCTTTCCTTCTGAATTTTTCTTTTTGAAGTGCGAATTGCATCCAGGCCATATTAAAAGAGGTAGATCTTTTTTTTTTTTTTTTTTTTTTTTTTTTTTTTTTTTTTTGTGGAATTTTATTTTGATTGCCATAAATTGCTACAAATATTAAATTAGATCAGTGTAAATATATGTGAATTGTGAAGAAATGCTTTCAGAAATTAAGATAGTGATTTCTCAACCATAAACAAAGTGCTGATGCGTTTGATATTCTGCTTTATTTTGAATTCTAAGTTGTATATAGTCTGCATCCCTTTATAATTAATTCATATAAATGTACTGGACTTCTTCAATTTTAAAGTCCAGCTAGTTTCATCTGAAATTATATAGTTATTATAAATTAAATTCAACTTACATTATCTAAATTCTTTGTAGGCTTTATCACAAATGGCTACTAGTGATCAAGTGACAGTTGACATTCCACCCCAAATGGAAGAGTTACATGAAATTGAGAATGAGCTTGTCACATCTCCTCAAGAACTATGGTATGATTCGACAATATTATCTTATAAACTGTATTTTTATATTATATATGTATAACGCATAATAAGTATAACAAAATGTTTGGAATCAATAATATGGATACAACATGCATCACAAAATCAGCTATCTCATGAGAAATAGTTGAGTTAGGACCTTCTCCTCAAGATCAAGATGTATGTACAGTTTATAATTTGCTATTATTTTCAGTCTATATTTTTAAAGATGAATTGTTTTGATAACCTTTCATTTAAAAATTTTTAAAGTTCTCATAATCATTTAACATAGTTGAAATATATAGAATATATATATATATATATATATATATAATTATATTTAAATTTTGTTAAGTTGTTATTCACCTAAAAGATTAAACGATTAGATAAGGCTCCACATATATTAGCCAATAGACCCTCTACATGAAATTTAGATTTTTTTCATTTTCTTTATCCAATTTCTATGTAGGGATCAGATCTTTAGACTTTTGACTCTAATACTATCAATGTTAAGTTGTCATTCTACTAAACCTAAACCAATAGGTTTCAATATATATTAGACTAATAGGCCTCCTCACATTTTCCTCAAATTCGTTAAATTGACTGTGGAAATCAAATAAACTAAATTATATATTTATTACCAGTAATAATTTTGTTATGCTAATTTCTGTGAAATTGTAAGCAAACGGTGCTAACTTGCTTACAAACTTTCCTTGCATTTTTAGCAGCTACTTTCTATAACAAGAGATTCAGAGATGTTAAGATTAATAATAGTCTATTTCATAAATTCTTTCAACACAGGTTATTAAGGGGAACTTAGGTTTATCTTAAGGCGTGTATATGTCCCTTACATAAGAAGTAATAATGCGGAATATAGTTTTCTCATAAATTATTTTCTTCTTCCTATTGTGTTGCTGAGTGAGTTGGTGTCATGTTATATATTTGTACTTTATTTTTCTAAATTGTTGATCAACAGTTTATATATATATAAACTGTATATATATATATATATATACAGCATGCATACATGCATACATGCATATATCACTTGATATTATGATAAAGTTTAATTAATAATACTACATATTCAAAACTGAAACATTTTAAATTTTATTTATCAGAAAATCTTACCATTAAATTGACTTACATCTATAAATACATAAAGTGCTAACATGGTTCAAACAAATATGTCTATGTGAAGAGAGGATTAACATTGCACAAGAAAATGAGGAACATAAAAAATGGATGAACATGTGACATCTTCCTCTAGAACGGATTGGTATACGATATAACTTGTAAACTACAGTTATATTATTTATATTTTTAAAGATGTAAGTCTTGATAGATCTTTCCACATGTCTTTAATTTTCTTAATAATCATTTTGGTTTCTCTACAACAAAAAGAAAATTATAATTTTTATTAGTATTATATAAGTGCAACACATGAGATTTACACAAAATTTTGATACTGAAATAGTGAATGTATAACAGTTGATCAAGAATGAGTATCAGATGAAATAATAGAGAATGACACATCGATTTCTCATGAAGTCAGCTTGGTACGATTTAATATTATCTGTTAAATTACCTATTATTTTATTTGTATTTCACTAGATGCATCGTTTTGTGTTCCTTTCATTTTCACTTCTATAAACTTCTTACCATGTAAACTAAATGTTAAACATTCTATACAGCTTTCGCTTCCTTAAAAATCGCTTTGGTTTTCCCACACCAAAAAAGAAATAAACTTTGTTTACGTAGTTTTATATAAATGCACAAGATTTATCACAAAATTTTGACTGACAAAATAGTGAAGAGTACAATAGTAGTAAAAAAATGGGTCGGGTTCATATAAATCAAGGCAAAGAACATCATTTTTTTTTTTTTTTTTTTTAATTTTGGGGAAATGATATGCCAGTCTATTCGTTAAGGAAAAAAGAAAGAAGATTCATATTAGCACACAAGATATAATTCTACATTACAGTGAAAACATTCATTAAAATGAGATCACAAACCATGTGACTATTTTATTTATTTTAAGGGCTCCTGACATCTTCACCTAGACATATTGGTGTCACTTATTGCATTTTTATTTCCTTTGTAATTCTAGAAAATATATATATGGCTAACAATCTATCCGGATTTTTTTTTTTTTTTTTTTTTGAACTTATTTTTTTTTGAAAAACAAATTGTTTTAAGAGTGGTAATGGTCTATTCAATAATTTTGGCAAGAGGATTACAATGTGAAAAAGTTAACATAATAAACTTTTTAAATCAAAAACCTACATGTAACATTGTTAAGTACTTAATTATCTCTCTTAATTTTAACATTAGAGTTTAATGTGAATGTATCGGTGGACTCTTCCACGATAGAAGAAGAAACATGTTGCTCTGCAAAATTCTATCTCATTAAAGGTAAGTCTTTTTATTAAATCGTTATAGGCTATAGCATCCCTTTTATTATGGTAACACAAAATTCTATCATAAACTTGTTCTCTTTTCAACTTGACGAAATTGGAGGAGAAGTAGGCACTTCAAATTGTACAGGGCTGCATTGGAGGGGATAGAACACTGCTGAAGGAATTTATAAGGAGAGATATTGATATACCAGTTAAGCTATCAAAGGATGGAGGCACCGCTCTCCATATTGCAGCTGCAGCATGGCACATGATTTTGTGAAAAAGCTGCTTGAAAAAATGAATAAGAGGATTAGTTGTAAAAATAATGCTGGCAATATGGCCTTTTTTCTTGCAGCTGCGTCCGAGAGGGTTGAAATTGTCAAGGCTATGATGAAGAAGAATGAAGACATAGTAAAGATTAGAGGAGACAATGATATTTACCGCTCACAAGCAGCTCTAATTGGAGACAAAGAGATGGTAGATAGATCATGATAATGATCACATCGAATTGTTTATCAGCCTCATAAACCGCGGCTGGTATGGTAAGTAGTATTGGGCGCATTAGACTTTTAAACATCCATTGGTAACATCATTATCTGATAAACAATGGTTTGTATGGTGAGTTTTAATATCTATATTCAGGCTAGCAAATTAGACGACTTTTAAAACTTAAGTCATCCTCTAATTTTTGTTCGCTATCCATCCTATCCTAGGAATCGAACATGGTTGGTCAACCAAAATAAAGGGCTAGTAAACCACCTGGTTAAATAGCTTAATAAATTTATATTATGTAAATATTCAACTTAACAATCCTCAATCATATATTAATTATAAAGATAATTATATTAAATTGATAATGTGTAAACTTGAATCTATATAATTTATAATGCTGATCACTGTTTTCCTAGATGTTGCATTGGATTTGGTGGAGAACCACCCACAGATAGCTCTTGCACGTGATAAAAATGCGAAGACAGCATTGCATCTCTTGGCATGAATGCCTGTATTGACGCGTGTTTTTTATTATGACCCCATTAGACATTACCAAGATTCGACCATCTACATGTGTTAGTTTTTTCTAATCATTAACACTTTCAGATTGCCTTAATTAGTTTTTTTTTAATCATAATAATGAAGTAATGAAGTAATTAGATTCAACCATCTACAATTGTTTTTAATTGTAAGAAAAAAGGGTGCTTAATTTCATTTTGTTTTAAAGCAGACAATGAAGTAAAAAGAGACGTGATAAAGATATGTCATTCAATGTTTGGGAGATAGCAGGTGAAGGAGAGGAATGAGATGAGCTTGAGGGATCGAATGAATGAGAGGGAGCAACGGATGAATGAGACAAAGCAAAGGAGGAAAAGGCTAGGCTGGCTGTGTCGGATTAAGGAGGCGGAATGTCAACTTTGTTGTGGGTATTTGTTTGAATTTTTAGTTAACAAAATTTGATTATTGTCTATGAGCATTTTTAGTGTCTCATTAAGAAGATAAATCAAGTTCCTATTTTATCTTGAACATTAATTAAATGGGTATTTGATTACTCTTGTATAATCTTTTATACGAAGTATGCCATGATCCTCTGTTCTTTTATCGATTTAGAATTCAATAATTGCTTCTCTGATATTTTCTTCATCCTCAAGTTTCCTATAAACTAATGTTGGCTTAAATAAACCTCTTAATTCAGATACTGGTCAAGAGATTCCCAATTCAGCTTTTGAACTATTCGAATGTCTTTGGGAACAAGTTATGCTTCTGGATGACTCCCAGATTTTGGAAATTATTAGAAAACCTTGGTCTCTAATATTTGAGGCTACAAAACAAGGAAACCTTCAGTTTCTAAACATAATTTTCTCCACATATCCTGATCTAATGTTTGAAGTTGACGAAAATCAATACACCATACTTCATTTTGCTATTATGTATCGTAGTAGTAATATTTTCACGGCCATGTGTGATATTGGTCTATTTAAGGATTTCGTAGCTCGTGTCACAAATAAAAAAGGGAACAATATCTTGCATTTGGCTACAAATTTGTCACCAGTAGATAGACCCGATGTTGAATCGCCTATAGTACATTTGAAAATGGCAATTGAGATGGAGTGGTTCGAGGTGAATATTAATTTACTCCCCTTTTTCATTTGAAAAAAAAAATATTTCTTTCTCTTGATTGATAGATATTTCATAACTGTTGTAGAGAGTGAAGAGAATTTTGCATCCAGTGGTAGCTGAAGCTAAAAATAAAGAAGGGAAAACTGCTAGAGCTATATTTACTGAACAGCACAAAGAGTTAAGGAATAAAGTTGATAAATGGACCAAGAAGATTGCAAATGCATGCATCATGGAGTCAACACTTATTGCCACCATGGTTTTCGCTGCGCTTTTCACTATACCAAGTGGCACCAATGAAGAAATAGGGACTCTGCATTTTGTTCGAAGAGCTTCCTTCATAGTTTTTGCAATATCAGATACTATAGCTTTACTATTGTCATGTTCCTCCTTACTAATGTTCTTAGCTGTTATCTCTTCTCGATGTGAAGACGTAGATTTCCTTCGGCGGGTATTATATGATTTGGGTTGGGGATTACAGTTACTTCTATTCTTCGTAGAAGCAATGATGGTAGTGTTTTGTGCAACTATGTTCATTGTCTTCAAAGATGGGTTTCTATGGATGCCTATTCTTCTTATGGTAATGGCTATTTTTGCAATCTTCTTGTACGTGGGTAAAACTTACAATGTCGCTGTAGAAGTGTCGCATTCTATCCATGAAAACTGGTGATGGTGACATTATTTACTTACTTTACATCAATGTAATATAACAAATGAGTCACTCATTGTTTCTTATCATGAATGTTATAAGATGTAATACTTATATTTTTCCGTTTTATTAAATCTGCAGTAAATTACCCAATTGTGGCGCTTTATATTCTGTCTTATCAGAACCATGTCTTACTAAATAGATTTGTTGTAAATTTCCCCTCACACAAATCAAGCAAACATCAACCAAAACAATCAATCAACGCAAACCAAACTATATTCAACACACAGTATTTACAGTGGTTCACTTGTTCAATATTGAACAAGCTACTTCCATGTTGAGCTCCAGCAGAATATGGATGCTCCCTGCACTTGCTATTACTATCAAGAACGATTACAACCCTCAAACACTCTTCCCTTTACAAGATTTCAAATCAAGATTGAAACTAGCTTTAGACTAGCAAAGATAAACCTACAATCTGAACTGAGAAAACAACAGCAGGTTCCCACCCCACTAAGAAACACGACTCAATGGATAGATTATTAGCAGATTTACACACACACAAAGCCCTAATCTTGAACCCTAATCTGGTAACTTTGAGAGGTTTCAACAAGAGAAAACACGTTGTTCGCGAACTGAAAGGACCTTGCTTTTATAGGTTTGACCCAACTTAAGTCCTCAGCTATCAGATCTGTCCTCAAACCAATGATCAGGATGAAGTCTCAGCTTTAGTCAAAATGACGTCGCATAAGGCTTCACATATAACAATCTCCACCTTGAAGCCTTATTCTTCCCTTTGACAGTAACCAGCAGGTGCAACAAGCAGTTATCATACTCCTTCTTAGCTCTTTTGAATTCAGTTGATATGAAGAATGTTCAAGCAATGCTTGAACTTTGCAGCAGTTACAACTTTTGTTCCCATATCAGATGGGTTTTCTTCAGTTGGAATTTTCAGCAGGCTGACAGTTCCCTTTGAAATCTGGTCTCGGACAAAATGATACTTGATATCCACATGCTTCATTCTCTCATGGTATACCAGCTTTTTACTTAGATGGATGGCATTTGATTGTTAGAATACACAGTCATAGGGCCATCCATTAAGTTTACCTCTTTCAAAATCCCTTGTAGCCATATTGCCTCCTTGAATGCATCAGTTACTGCCACATACTCAACTTCTGTTGTGGACAATGCCACTAATGGTTGAAGCTGGGATTTTCAACTGATGCAATTTCCAGCTAAAGTGAAATAGTAAGCTGTGGTGGACTTCCTTGAATCACGATCTCCTGCAAAATCAGAATCTACATACCTAACAAGATCAAGTGTAGGAGTTCTTTTGCAATAATCTAATCCAACATGCATTGTAGTGTTAATATATCTAAGTAACCATTTTAAGGCAACCCAATGCTCTATTCCTGGAGTTGACATAAACCTACTTAATAGAGATATTGCAAATGAGATATCAGGCCTAGTGCTTATCATTGAATACATCACTGATCCTATGGCACTAGAGTAGGGGATTTTTGCCATTTTAATCCTATCTACATTAGTTTTGGGGGACTACATTTTGCTAGTCGAATGTCTTTAGGAACAAGTTATGCTTGACATGTTATGGACGGTTGTCTTTAAATATTGGACGGGCGTTCATATTTTAATGGACGCCCGTCCATTAACAATTCTTTGTAAAAAATTACTATGTTATAATTTATTATAAAAAAATTATTCCATTTTACTGATGGATGCCCGTTCTTTAAATGGGGACACTAGTCCGTAGTAAATAGACCCTGGTCCATATTATATGGACAAGAGTCCATATAAGTAAACGACCGTCTATATTTGATAAACGACCGTTCACTAGAAAAAAATTTAATAACGTGAAACGTGTCTGGTTTGTTGGTGTAAATCACGGGACACGTTGGCCGGTATAAGATTTTGGTATAAAAATACCAGTGTCCGTAACATTATTGTTTAATTGAGATTATAATCAGGCGGCTGTATAAGAATTTAATTAAATAAATACAAAGTTTTTATAATTTTTTATTTGATAAGAGAAGCACGCAAAAACATAATTATATAAAATAATTAAAATAAATATTTTACAATAAAATAGGATAAAGAGTAAATGTTTTCCCAATTATAAAAGTAAAAGTGGTGGTACTTTTACCCCTCCTTATGTTTTCAATGGCGCTTTTTTTTTAGGGTTTTATTTGAAGTTTTTTTATTTTTTCATAAACATGGGCGAATCAAGAACCAGGCACAGCAAACGAGTACAACCATTAGAAGAATTTCCAGACAATAATCAAAGGTTAGTTTTCTTTTTGGAACCAATACTACGTCATTGAGGTTTTTATTGTCTAGTGTTTTGTATATTTTTTTTCTTTTGTAAATTGTTTTACTTGCACTTTTCTTTCAAGAATCAGTTTTCTTTAAAGATAAGTTTTTTTTTTGCAACTTGCTTTATTTTCTTTCGTGCATTATGTGTTTATATTGAGGATGAAATCTTACAACTTTCTAGGGTTTTCAGAAAATACACTTATTTGATATTTATTAAATTTTTTTTTTATGACACAATTATTGATAAAAACACATAATCAAACGCACATCAAATACATAATGTCAAATTTTGAGAAAAAATAATATTATATTATAATATTAAATTTGGCCATGCGTCACACATCAATCACATAATGCCAAATTTTGAGAAAAATTTTATTTATAATATAATATTAAATTGACCATGCGTGTGGATATAAAAGAAATTAAGGAAAAACTCATAAAAAAACTCATGGGAATAATTATCTTTGATTACATGTCTCATATCCTCTATAGAGTGCCTCTGCTTTTTATTACTACTTTAGCTTTCGTCTGCTACAATAAATAGTGTCATAGAGTTTACTAATTTTTATTTATTTATTTTTTTTTTTTGTTTTAACATTTTCGATCTTAGCTTGCTACTTTAGCTTTTGAGTCTTTCCATGTCTGCTGTGTTGGCAATGCTAGTTGAAATTTTAATTTTCAAGATGTAATGTGAAGTCAATAAATACTGTCAGTTATTTAATTTTTTATTGGATGGTTTATATTAGATGTTATGTATGAAATTGTCACCTTTGTTTATGATAGCTCAGGATCAACATCAAAGATTAGGTCAAGCTCATTAAATTATTTTCACTGTTTTCACTCATAGTCACCACTATCAGATTGGGTTCTCGCCACTATCAGATTGGGTTTGAATCCGTTTGTTGAGTCCTCAATTAGCCAAATTGAATTGAATTGGGCGGAGGTATTACTTATCTGAATTGTTGATTACAAGAAAAAAGGTTAGTTCTTTGCATCTTTTTTTATTATCTTTATATTGATGTATTTTGTTTCGTTTTATGATTTTTGAATTTTGCTTTTAATAACAAGCTCATCATCTGTTTGTAAAATATCTTTAATGAAATTTTGTGGAACGTAGATTTGAGTGGATGACTTCTAAATTAATGTTTGTGTTTCACATTAGTTATTTTTCATTTAGTTTATTTGGATCAAGTAGTTATTTTATTTATTATTTATTATATATTAATACTTAAACAGGATTGCAATGGACAAACAATGGATGCAATGTACAGATAGGTTGTGTAATGAGTATAGGACAGGAGTTCAGAATTTTCTTGACTTTGCTTTTAGTCACACAAACTTAGGTGGTGTGATCCCATGCCCTTGTATGAAGTGTAACAATGTTTTGCACAAAACAAAAGATGAAGTACATGGTCACTTGTTAATGCATGGAATCGTCAAAGGATTAGTCAATTAGCTTCTAGTCAGTAGGTTTTGGGACCAGAGTCCAAGTACTGTTCTGTCTTAAGGATTTCATCTCCTCCTTCATTGCTTCCAGCCACTTTTTACTATCTTTTGAACTCACAACTTCCTGATATGTCTCTGGTTCAGACCTCAGTGTCTCTACCCCAGCCACAAGGGCTATATAGATCAAATCTGCATAACTGTATCTGTTTGGGGGCCTTATTTCCCTTATGACTCTGTCTTTGGCTAGTTGGTAGTCTACTAGGTTCTCATTCTGTTCTTCATATTGTTCTCAGGCTGCTCAGTTTCTTCATATTGGTCCCTAATGTTCTACAGTGTGGTACTTTATGGTTCTGTTTGTTTAGGTTGTTATAAGTGTTCTGTTAGGTTTTGTGGCTCCACCTCAAACTGTGATCTCTCTGTTTGATCAAGTAGTTCAGGATCTGTTCTTGAGTTACCTGCATTGTCAGTAGACACTTTGCAAAAGAAGGTTAGCTTATTAAAGACTACATCTCGGCTTATTATGATCCTAACTCTTGGTACATTTCTCTCCCACAACATATAAACTTTAGTACCATCCTGGTACCCTAGGAAGACACATTTTAGAGACCTGAGTTCAAGCTTACCCTCTCTTGCATGTGCATATTCTGCACACTTAGGTGGTTTAGGTTAGGTTTCCTTCTAGACCATCTCTCTTCAGGGCATTTAAAACCTATTGAGCTGGATGGACTTCTATTGATCAAATAAGTAGCTGTAGTTAGGGCTTCTCCCCAAAAGGTCTTGGGTAGCCCAACAGTGAACAGAAGACACCTGACCCTTTATAGGAGAGTCCTATGCATTCTCTCTGCAACCCCATTCTGTTGTGGGGTTGCCCTAACAGTTCTATGCCTTTGTAACCCCTGATTTTGGTAGTAGGTGTGAAACTCTAAGTTGTAGAGCTCCAGACCATTATCAGTTCTAAGGGTTTTGACCTTTCTATCCAATTGTGTTTCTACAAGGGTTTTCCAACCTTTGAACTTGGTTAGGGCTTCGTCCTTAGTCCTAAGGAGGTATACCCATACCTTTCCACTGTAATCGTCCACTATGGAGAGGAAGTATATGTTCCCTCCATGTGACTTCACCTTTTCTGGACCCTAGAGGTCAGCATGGACATAGTCTAGACAGTTTGCAGCAAGATGAGTTCCTTTTTGAAAACTCATCCTGTGCTGTTTTCCAAGGATACAGGTTTCACAAAAATCTAGAGC